TGAAAAGCAAGGGCATACAGCCAAGATTACTTTACCCAGCAAAGCTATCATTTAGAATTGAAGGTCAGATAAAAAGCTTCATAGACACAGAAAAGCTAAAGGAACTCATCACCACCAAATCAGTATTGCATGAAATGTTAAAAGGTCTTTTTAAGAAGACAAATTATATAAAATAATATGAACAAAAAGTGGTAATCAATACATATTTTCAACAATTGAATCTAAAAATCAAAATAAATAAACAAGGGATCCAATGAACAAAATGAACTAATGAACAAAATAGATGCAGAGACACTGAAGTATTCAACAGACTGATGAATTTCAGAGGGGAAGGGTTTGGGTGGAGAGTTTAACTAAAGAAATTATATGTATATATGCATAAGCCATGGACAGACAATAGTAGAGTAAAAGCCTGGTGAGGGTGTGGGGAGGGTGAGGGAGAGGGTCAATGAGGGGAAAAGAGGAGCATCTGTAATACTTTCAACAATAAAGTTAAATTTTAATATATTTTTCCTTTATTTATTTATTTTTGAATTTAATAAATCTTTATTGTTCAGATTATTATGATTGTTTCTCCTTTTCCCCCCATAGCTCCCCTCCACCCGCTTTCCACCCCACCCTCTGCCTTCACCTATCCCCCACTGTCCTCATCCATAGGTGCATGATTTTTGTCCAGTCTCTTCACCCACCCCCCATATTTCTTTCCCCCTGAGAATTATCAGTCCCCTCCCATTCTGTATGCCTGATTCTATTATATTCACCAGTTTATTCTGTTCTTCAGATTTTTAATTCACTTGATTTTTAGATTCACTTGTTGATAGATATGTATTTGCTGTTAATAATTTTTATCTTTACATTTTTCTTCTTCCTCCTCTTCTTAAAGAATACCTTTCAGCATTTCATATAATACTGGTTTGGTGGTGATGAACTCCTTTAGCTTTTTCTTATCTGTGAAGCTTTTTATTTGACCTTCCATTCTGAATGATAAGTTTGCTGGGTAGAGTAATCTTGGTTGTAGGTTCTTGCTATTCATCATTTTGAATATTTCTTGCCACTCCTGTTTGGTCTGCATAGTTTCTGTTAAGAAATCAGCTGACAGTCGTATGGATAGTCCCTTGTAGGTAATTAACTGTTTTTCTCTTGCTGCTTTTAATATTCTCTCTTTGTCTTTTGCCCTTCACATTTTAATTATGATGTGACTTGGTGTGGTCCTCTATGGATTCCTTTTGTTTGGGGTTCTGTGTGCTTTCTGGACTTGTAAGTCTATTTCTTTTACCAGGTAGGGGAAGTTTTCAATCATTATTTCTTTGAATATGTTTTCAGTATTTTGCTCTCTCTATTCTTCTGGCACCCCCATAATTCTGATGTTGGTACACCTGAAGTTGTCCCAGAGGCTTCTTACACTATGTTCAACTTTTTGGATTCTTTTTGCTTTTCTGGTAGAGTGTTTTTTGCTTCTTTGTATTTCAAATCTTTGACTTGATTCTTGCATTCCTCAAGTCTGCTGTTGGGTCTCTGTATATTTTTTTTTTTATTTTAGTCAGTATATGTTTGATTTCCAGTTGGTCCTTTTTCATATCCTCAAGGGTCTCATTAAATTTATTGGCCTTTTCTAGGAAATTCTTGAAAAACCTTATAATCGTGGTTTTGAACTTCATATCCAGTCATTTGTTTTCCTCCATTTCTTTCATTTGTGACCTGTTTCCTTGTATACTCATTTTCGCTGCTTCCCTGAGTTGGTAGGGTGGCTTTGTGTGTGAGGTGTCCTATATGGTCCAATGGGTCAGCCTCCAAGTTACCTGAGGTGGACTCTCTTGGTGCACCCCTTTGTGGACTGTGTGTACAGCCTTATTGTAGTTTAGTCTTGATTGTTTTGGTGTCACTGGGAGGAATTGACCTCCAGGCCAATTTGCTGTGAGCACCCGCTGTGTCTATAATGGAAGAACTGCTGGCTGGAGACACATTTATGGGGCAGGACTTATTTCAGTGGAGCTTTGGTGCTCACTGAGTCTGCCTCTTGAATGTGTCCCTTATGAGAGTAGTTGAAATCTAATGTTGTTTCACACAGACCACTAGATACACTAGCTTCTGGATCTCCAATGGGGTATAGGTCAGCTAATGTCTGAGGCCACCCAGCAGGAGCTACAGCGAGAACTACTGTTTTCTCCTCTTTGCTTGGGGTTTGAAGGTTTTGGAGCTGTCTGACTGGAGCTGCAGTTTGTTTGGTTAAGCTGCGATAGGGCAGGCCATTTATATGCAAAAGCTGCTGAACAGAGCTTGGGTGGGTTTGTTGATTGTGTGGGGCAGAATCTCAGGGCGTCACTAGACTAGGGTGTGGCAAATAACGATGGCTGACAGTCAGCCTTGACTGCATCTCCAAGTTTGCAAATCCCCATGACCCAGCGCAGTAAACAATGATTGTTGGGCACACCTCTGAAAGAAAGTGACCCTCACTTTCTGACTTGATGGCCGACAATCCAGCTTCTCCCCATAGGAGATTGGGTACCCAGAGTCTCCTCAGAAACTATAGATTTCAGAGTAATCAGGAGCTTGTCTCCCTTTGGGTTGAAAAAAAGGAGCACATCCAATTGCCCTCCACCAGCCCAATTCTCACACCTCCGTACCTCAGCTTTTCAGGGCTTGTGCTTTTAATTCTCTTTCCTTCTAGTTGTACAACTTCCACTCAGTCAGATTTCCCGTGGTTCCAAGTGATAGACATTTTGTCTTTTAGCTGTAGTTTTGAAATTGTTGTATGAGGCAGCAGTTTAGGAGTTTACCTATGTCGCCATATTGGTTTCTCCAAATTTTTAATATATTTTTATTGATTTCAGAGAGGAAGGGAAAGGAATATGTAGATAGAAATATCAATGATGAGAGAGAATCTTCAATCAGCTGCCTCCTGCATACCCCAAACTGGGGATTGAGCCCAAAACTCAGGCATGCGCCCGGACTGGGAATTGAGCCATGATTTCCTAGTTCGTAGGTAAATGCTTAACCACTTAGCCATGCTGGCTGGGCAAAGTTAAATTTGTAAGAGTAGTAATGGAAACTATAGAATCTCAGTGACTTTTAAATTTCTTTCCAAAGTTCCTCAGGTTAAAAGTAATCTTTCTAAATTAGGTTAGCATGAAGAGGAGATAGTAGAAAAATAAACAGATGTAGGGATGCTTGTGGTGTGTATTTCTTTTGGGCTATGTGAAAACATATGGCTATTTGTAACAACAGTGACAAAAACAATGTGTAACTCAGTATGACTTCAACTTCTTTCTCTTTTCTATGTCAGTGTATTTCCACTCTGGGCAGCTTCAGCTCAGTAGTTATCATGTTTCACATTTTTGTGAAAGAATTAACTGAGCACAGGTCATCCTTCAGTACTCATAGGAGATTGGTCCCAGGACCCCCTCAGATATCCAAATCCACAGATGCTCAGCTTCCTTATATAAATGGCATAGCATGTGTATATAACCTGTACATACCCTTCTATATATTTTAAATAAACTCTAGATTATTTATAATCCCTAACACAATGTAAATGCCATTCAAATACTTTTTATACTGGATATTTTAGAAAATAATGGGAAAAAGGTACATGTTATGGACAGATGCAACCATTGTAGGCCTAACTACATAGTACATGTTTAAAACAATGTAATATATGATTTTTAATATTTTTTATCACCAGTTGGTTGAATCTGCATATGTGAAACCCACAAATATGTAGGGATTACTGTTTATAGAAATCACCCTGAACCAGGAATACCACAAACCTTCCTTTGTTCCTTCCTTTGTTCCTTCCTTTGTTCCTTTCTTTGTTTTCTGCAACTTTCCTTCCTCTCACATCCTTAATCCAAGCTCTCTGGTTCAGCTTCTCACATGCTTCAATGCTCTGGAGTCCTCATTCCTGACCCTTTCACCCTTGGCCCCATGAACTACCTTTTATCTATTCAGTATATTTACCCATTCATCAGCATTCATTAAATACCTACTTTCTATCAGGGCCATAGTATGAATCTCAGAAAGTTTCATAGATGAGATATTTGAGCTGGATCTTGAAAAAGAATAGAAGTATGCTGGGTATGGGGTGGGAGATGAATAAAGAAACATTATTCTGGGCAGAGGAACAACATGTACAAAGTCAATGAGGCATAAAATTCATAACACATGTAGGGGTCCAGTAAGTAACTCAGGATACCTAGAGAACAGGGAAAGAATTGGAAGTGATGTTGGAAAAGTGAACAGAGGACAAATAATGAAGTGTCATTATGCTGTGCTCTGGGGTTTGGATTTTATCCAACAGGTTATAGGAAGACATTGAAAGCTTTTAGGCAGAAGTTTAAAAATCAGATTTACATTTAGAAAAATTACTGTGACAGTAGCAGGATGGATTGTTTGGAAAGAAAGACAAGTAATAGAAAGAGAACTTGTCAGAACAATATTGCAATATTCTATGTGAAATAGAGAGAAGTTTGAGCCAAAACCAAGATAATGTGAATGAATATAAATAGACAGCTGGGCACATGAATGGGATATTTATTTAAGTGGTAGATGACAAGACTTAGTAACAGATTAAACGAGAGAGATGAGGGAAAATGTTTCTGATTCCATTGGGTTTTTTAATGTAAGTGCTGTTTATTAAAACAGAAACACGGCAGAAATCATGCTTGAAGGAAAAGTTAACGAGAATTGCATGATTCTGTTCAGCTAATAAAAATCAATATTGATACCAATTATTTGATTTCTTAGTGAGAAATGTACTTAGGAATCCATTAATTTAAAAAGCAATTTTAGAAACCAAATCTTTTATAAAACTGGAATGGAAGAGAAAAAAATACATTACCATTACCTTGACCTCATTAAGTTTCTTCTGTAGAGCTTTTTAGCTGCATTGTATGAAACAAATACTATACCCCTCCAGTCTTCATTATAAAGCTGGTGTGTGTGTGTGTGTGTGTGTGTGTGTGTGTGTGCGCGCGCGAGGGCGCGTGTGTGTGTGTTTTCAGAGACTTAGAGCCAACTCAATTAGTTATGCTGATGGAAAAAAGACTAGCACAAGTAATTGAAAACCACAGACAATTCAAAGCTCCATGGACAACTACTAGGGAAAAAATGTGGCCTCCTATAGTTCTTTGGAACCCAGAGTTGACCTCACTGGCAAATAAAAATGGTCAGGCAGTAATCCTCATAGAAAGTTTATGTTGTAGAAATCTAAGATTATAAGTAGGATGTAAGAGAAAACAGTGAGAGGAAGTAATAACATAATAACAATGAAGCATAAAATTAAGATTAAAAAACTATTCATTATTATTATCACACAGCTAGGAGTTGGATTATTTGAAAGAGCCAAGGATGAAAAATGAAATACTGCAAAATGGACAGATCTACACATTCCTATTTTTGGGTTAGAACTACACAGAGTCTTATGGTTTCAACATAGCCCAAAAGATCTCTAGAGAGATCTGAAACAGGAACTATTATTTATTTGTAATTTAGAATGAAAAATCTAAAAGTTATATCTTATTTCTTTCCTTCACATCCTATACTCCCCAAAAGCAGTGTGCCCTGATAGTTCTACCTACAAAATATGTCCTGAATCCACCCACTTCTCTCCATCTTCTCTGTTACCACCTTAGTACAGGCCACTATCACCTTTTGCATGGATTACTGAAATAGCCTTATAACTAGTCTCTCTGTTTCTACTCTAATCCCATTACACAAACTATTCTCTACCTGGCAGTCAAAGAAATCTTAGCAAAATTACACATAGATCATGTAATCCACATCTTTAAAACTTTGCAATGCCTTCTCATTGTGTTTAGAAAGAACCCAAGTTGACTAAAACAGCCTTAAAAATCCATACTATCTGGTCTCTACCTATTTCTCCACCTTATGTCTCATGAAATAAGAAATTATTTCTCACACATCCATGAAGCAATTTTTATCTTTTTAAAATGAGCTATAATTCGCATACAATAAAATTTACCCACTTTAAAGTGGACAATTTCATGGTTTGTAGTATATTCTCTGGAGGGAAAAAAAGGGGGTTATACAAAAAGTAACCTAACAGGATGATCTGAATATAAATTCTTAACTGGGCAGGTCATGGTGAGCAGTCAAGCTCCAGGCCTGTAACTTCTTTAGTGAAAGTTTTAGGCCAGCACTGTTTATTGTTCTTGTGCATCTACGTTAACACACCTTTGAAATATTACAAGTAAAATCCCTCAAAGAGGTATTAACCCTTAAGAGAACACATAGTCTTGTTAACCATTCTGTAATCTAGTCCCCATCTTGCTTTCTCCAATCTTCTTTATGTCCTCTCCTTAATTTCAAATGCACAGAAGACACAAAATTGTTATTCTGAGCATTTGATATCCTGCTTGCCAGCATATGTTACAAGGTTTGTGAGAATAAATAATTAATCTTTTCTGTCAAAGAGCAGTTTAGACAACTGCCATTTTGGACTGCGTTACTTGGCAGCTGCCATGTTGGCCACATAGCTTGAAGCTCTCCTGAGGGCTGCCATCTTGAAACAGCAAAAGGCCAGCCCCTCCCTTTGAATTAGCCAATCACAAAAGACTGTGTGCCTGAGCTCTAATCAAAAGCAAGGGACAGGTCACATGCATCAGGGATAATAAAGCGGAGCAGACCACCTGCTCTGTGTGTGCATGCTTCCAGACCATGTGGGTGCACCCTTCTACATAGAAGTAAAGATGTTTGCCTTGCTGCCTGGCTTTCGGGTATATTTTGTATTCTACCAGGACACCTGACTTGGGGGACTCACCTTATTTCTAACAGGTTGACTCAAATAAACTTTTATAAAAATTCTCTACAATTTTGTATGTTTCTTTTGTCCACAATTCATTTAGCTGTACAATTATCACCACTACCTCATTTTACATCATTTTCATTACCCAAAAAAGACACTGAATACCCTTTAGCTATTATCCCCTCATACTTGTCAATTCCTCCCTAGCCCTAAACAAGCCATTGTCTCTATATATATGCCTATTCTAAAAATTTTATATAAACAGAATAATACAAAATCTGGCCTTTTGTAACTGGCTTCTTTCAATTAAAATAATGGTTTTGAAGTTTATTACTGCAATAGAAGTGATTCAATCTTTTTTATAGTTTAATATTATTCCATTTATCAATTCATCATTTGCTGGGCCTTTGAGCTATTTCCACTAAAGAGGTTCAAAACAAGTCTCCCCGGAATGTGTTACTTTGGCATGTGGAGTATTTTGAGCTAAAGACAATCAAGGCCAAAAAACTCAGGAAAAGTGTGTGTGTGTTTTTTGTGTGTGTGTTTTTACCTCCCTCTTCACCACCTAAAAGAATTTCTATAGAGGGCCTTGTCTAGGAAGAGAACTATCACCAGAGACAACTACACAAAATATGTAGTTGGTGTGGTGGGCTGTGGAGGAGCTGGCAGGACCTAGAAATAAAATTGTTCTGTGTCACATTGTCTCTGCATGGCATGTCAAACATTTGTTTATCTAACATTTGCTTTTCTCATTTCCTAAATTGTCTTCCACCCTTTTGAAGATTGAACCAGGCAACCTTCTCCTAGCTCAGGGTGGCATATAAGCCTGACCACTTAAGGGTCTCAAATTCTTATGAGGACCCTGTACATAGGTAATTAAATTTGCTTTCTTCTTTCTAAATTGTCTTATGTTAATTTGATTATTAGACCAGCCAAAAATACTAGAAGGTTAGAAGAAAAAATTTTCTACTGCACCACCACTTTTTGGCTATTGTGAATAATGCTGCTGTGAACATCCATGTATGAATTTTTGTGTGGGTCAGTTTTTATTTCTTTTGGATATATATATATATATATATATATATATATATATATATATGTAATTACATTGCTTCATCATATGCTATCTCCATGTTTTTGTCAATGGACTCACTCGTATTCAGGATACTGCTCAAATGTAACCTCCTCTGAGAGCCATTCCCTAAAACTACATCCAAAATAATCACACCACCATAGCCATTCTTCATCATCTTTACCCTATTTTGTTTTCTCATAATCCTTACCAATGTCTAAAGTTACGTTTATTTTATTAGTTTACTTTTTTTGCCATCTGTGGCTCCCCACTAGACCATTAACTGCAAGGATAGAGGCCTTGTTGTTCTTGCTCACTGCTATTCTCTCAGCATCTAGGACAATTATCAGCAAACAGTATGAGCTCAATAAATAGTTGTTTACCAAAGGAATGAATCTATGGCAAAAATGTTAGTTCTTTTTTCACACTGTGGGGTTTATCCACAAATCTACTACTATTTTAGTGCTTTTCTATTTCCTTAATTGCTCTTTGGAGAAAGTAAAAACTCACACGTCTAAATTATAAAAAGAAGTGGCTGTAGCCAATGATGTGTGGATCATTTGACTTACATTTGCACCTTCCACCCAACCTTCTGACCACCACACCAGGAGTTGCAGAAAAAAATCCATATGCCTTTAGTGATTAAGATTGCAGTATGTGGGGGTGTTGAAAGAAAACTCCAATGAGTTTTCTAGTGACAAGTGAAATGTCCAACCTTGCAGAGCTATAAATTGAGGATTTCTTCTTTGAAAAATGAGATATTCTTAAAAATTACTAAACTTTTCAATATTTAGATAAAATTTGTATTTTGTAATATTTACATGGTTCTAAACTAAAAAATATTTCTAAGAACAGCATAAGTCCATTATATCTTTATCTGGAAAATAACAGTTAAATCGTGTGATAATCTTATTTGGTCTTGTTAATTATTTGCATAAAACAAATTATACAAGTGTTGAGAAGAATGGGAGAGGGGATATTATCTGAGGATTTTTTTTTTTTTTGCTTAGGACTTAATATAAACAAGAGATCAAGATTTGTATGAAAAATGTTTTCTTAACTTGTTTCCATTTGCCTTCATATGCCCTTATTTGAGGGTGGAGTTTTAAAAACTATCAAGATGCAGAATTGAATAGGTGTAAATTTCAAGATAACTCATTAGTATTTCAGAAAAAAACAGAGTTGCTGATGTAATATTTTCATATACATGCTAATACCTTTTTTGCATAACTTTACATTTCATAGATTTTTGAAATTGCTCATTGAATATGTCTAAGCCTTAAATGAATAGTATCCTTTCATGAAGTCAAGGAGCCTGAGAGGGGGAGAGGAGGCTGTTTTCTAGAGGTTTAAAGTTGAGTGATTTCTCCAAATCTAATCACATATCGAAGTATCAAGTAAATAGTCCCAAAGAGAAGAAGACAAGTAATGACATATATAAATGCAGATAAACATCTCACAACTACAATATTTCTTTTCTAATGCATTCCTAGAGACTATAATAATACACAAAGCATGTAGCTGCACAAAGGATTCAGAGGAGGTGAATGTAGTCAGAGATAAGTAGGAGAAGCAGGGGAGAGTGGCTGGGATTGAAAGCTTATACATCCTGGGACTCTACAACCACAACACCCAGGGACCAGCTCTGCACCTTCTCACAGAAAGGTCAGATTTTGCCTAGGGAAAGGTGAAATCTGTGATCCAGGCTGGAGATCGAAATGCACACAGTGGGATCTAGAGGTTTGGGGAAAGTCTGCACCCCACAAAATCTGCAGCCTTTGGGACCAGTGTTATCCACAAATGTGGAATGATATCCACAGGGCTGCTTGCAGAAGGGAACTCTAAAACTCAAACCATAGCTGGACTGGACACAAAAAGGTAGCTTGAAGTTTTACCAGTGTGATGGCTGCTTAGTGCCAGGGGGAAAAAGACATGCACAGAGACAAACACAGAGTTGTAAACAGTGCCAGAAGGTAAAAGTCGCAAGTTCAAGCACTTATTCTGGCTCTTTTTTCTCTTTAAACTCTTGCTTTTTATTACTAAGCCCAGTACGTAGGATCACCCAATTGGGAACACTCTCAGAGACTGCAGGGGAAAGTTGGATTTGTGGAACCTGGGTGTCAGAGCTGGGAGTAACAATCAGGGAACCAGCTCTGGGGCAGTCCATTCTCCCAAACCAGTATTATTAAGTGCGACAGGGAAAACAAAATTGAAAACTGGCTAGAGGACTTATAGCCCCAGAGGTCAATCCAGAACACTGCCACA